CACTGTGTTTGAGCTTTGGAGATTCATTCTTGAGTCTTTGTATTCATGGAACTCTCATTTTCAAACCTGCTACTCTTACTTCAGAGATCTTTGACTGTTCAAGTGTTTTTGTATATACTAGAACAGAGGCATTTCTCCTGCTTTGTCTGAACTCAATTGAATTTAGTCATACAGGCTCCTTTCTCAGTTGAATGGAGTTGTATTCTTCCAATTCATTTTTGAGAAGTAGCATTCCTTCTTCACAGTCAAAAATTTCAACTGGAATATCATGAAGAATGAATTTGCCCCACTTTTCATCTCTTTCAGATAGAATTGTTGTGTTTAGCAATGATTCTACTGCTGACTTCCAGAGATTCTCATTCTGAATAAGGAATTCAGCACTGAATTCAGGCATTGTAGTCAGAATAATAGAGTTTCCAAAGAATGATGGCTCAATTGAAGCTATAACTGGTTTTTGAACTTCAATATCAGTCATCAACTGAGAAAAGAACTGCTGATTAATTTCATTTCTGATTCTGAAAATGAGATTTGAGTTTAGCTTGTTTCTTTGCAGAATGTCCTGGTTTGAGACTTTGAGAATGAGTCTTCTATTTCTAGAGATTTGGAAGTTTTTCTCTTTTTGCATTTTCTTTTCCACTTTTCTATGAATAGAGGCATGAGCAGTATTCTTCTCAGTTTTCTCAGGATTTTGAGCAGGTTTTGAGACAGCAGGTTTAGAGACAGCAGATTCAGCTGCTTGAGCATATGTTTTCTTCTGATTCAAAGAAGAAGAAGGAGTAGGAAGAAAGGAAGAAGAAGAGTGAGATGAAGAGTCAGTGATTGTACTAGGAATTTTCAAGGTTTTTTGAACTGTGTTTGAGATTCCAAGTTTGAACTTGATCACCTCCTGTAGTTGTCTGGCCTGAGCATGAAGAATTAACAGAACTTCTTCATTCATCTCACTCAGACACTGCTTTCCAAGAATCTTGCTTGCTTTTTCAAGTTCCTGTATTTCAAGAACTTGTTGTTTCTCTATTTCTTCTTTCTTTCTTCTCTTCAGAATTTCAATCTCAGGAATAGCATTTGAGAAAGCATCTTTTTCCACATCAACTGAGCGTATTTTTGAACTCATTGTTTTCACTCAATGAAAAGTTGGTCAGACTGTTTCAATTGAGATATTTCTAAGTCTGTTTTCAATTGAAAAGTTGGTCAGACTGTTTCAAAAGAAGAATAAAAGACTTTTGTGTATAAAACACCTGATTTTTTTCACACTAGTTCAGTAACTAGGTTAGATTTTTGAAGAGAATCTAATAAACTAAAATTGATTTTTAAGATAAATCAATAAAATCTTTACAATCTCTTTCTTGGGATACAGTGAGGAAAAGTATGATATCAATTGATAATAAATCAGATGATATGACAGTTTTTGAGAGAAAAACTGACAAAAAATAAATCAATTTTTTGCAGAGAAATTGATTAAAACTATTCAATTTTATTCTAAATCATCCAATTCTCCTCACACAACAAGTGTGCAACTCAAATCAGTTAATAAAGAGTGTAAAAAAGAATTAAGTATTAATGAAAGCTCTTCAGCCACTGAAATAGTAATTCTTACTTAAAAGAATATGAAATTATGACAGAAAACAACTCTGTTTTTAATTCTTTGTAAGAATATTGTGTAAAACCCAGAGAAAAACACCTTACTTTTTCAAGAGAAGTAAAAAACTATTTCTAAGATCTTTTTTTTTTGCATTAACTGCTGCAGAAGAATGAGATAGAAACTGCTAAGATATGCACTACTGTATACCCTCTACCAAGACTTTCCCTCTTCAGGGTCTTGATATTATAGAGAATATAAGTCTGTTTCTATATGATAATATAAATATTGCCAGCGGGATGTAGAGGAACTGGTTATTTATATCTCAAAATAGAAGACTTTGTCAATGATTATATCAATATAGAGTTAATTCTCAAATTCAATAGAAACCTAGTGTTGCTGTTCTCAATCCCTTGCAGAATCTATTGAATATTGAGGTATTAAAACTAGATTTAATATATCTCACTGTGCAGGGATCAAAGGCTCAGTCAGACCTTGGGGTATACTGATTTTATAGTTGTTGATGTGCTGTTGACTCGTTGTCCACTGGTTATGTATTGAATACTGTTGCCGAGGTATCTTTTTGTATCGTTCTGCTGGGGATGGGCCAGATTGAGAGGGGTAGTACAGGGGTGAGACTTGGTGTTGAAGTCTAGATACACTGGCGGCGGACCGTGGAGGTTGCACTTCAGAAGAGTCCGTTGATTATGTGCTTGATATTATCGCCGAGGTATCTTTTTGTATTTTTCTGCCGGGGATGGGCCAGATTGGGAAGGGCGGTACGAGGGTGAGACTTGGCGTTGGTGTTTTGGAACATCAAAGATGGACAGGGTTTTCGCGGAGGTCGCTCCTCGGATATCTCCACAACTACAGGTCGGGGGTCTTCCAAAATCGAGAAGATTGGTGCATATGGCTAGGTCACTTCACCTTACAATTTGTATGGCACTCTGGCCCGGGGTTGTGGTGTGGTAGGGGAGAACGGGGGATAATCCCACACAGGAGCTTCGAACAACGTCCGGTTCATGTTTGGCTGGATAACTCCACCACCACACGGGGTATGCGGTCGGCGATGGGGTCAAAATGCTCGTATGATCGAGGGCTTTTCGATGGATCTATCGGCGGGTTCTTATTCGAAAAATCGAGCGAGTTCGTGGTGGAGCGGTTTGATATGGAACTGCATCACTGATCTGCTATGAGAATGAACAGAATCTATTATCTGGAGAAGAATATTCATTATTAGAGAATTTATGAGAATCACTTGAGTATTTAGAAAATGCTGAGAAAGAGATTGCAAGCTATGAGACAGCTAGTAGAGATTATCTCATTACATGCTAGAGATGTTAAGTAAGAAATACTGCTTGAAGACTTCTCATTTTTCTTAAAGAGTTTTTTAGAGATAATCTTATAGTGATGAGCTGATGTCTTATAGACTCTGTAGCACTCTTCTTCTATTTTCTCTCAAAGAGTTTTTTAGAAGTTTAATGAGACTACACAAGTGTAAAATTTCTGAAGTGATTAATAAGAAAAGAAAGAGATATTTGAAATTAATAAAAAAAAAATTAATATTAATCAATCTGTGAGCTGCTGCTAATCTAATGAGGCTGCAGCCTGCTGAAAAAGTAAAAAGAAGGAATCTCAGAGTCTACTCATTAATAATCATATTCTTATTAAACTCATTCTTCACTGTTGAAGTCTTCAGTATCAGCATCTTTATCTGCTGAGAAGTTAGCACTGCAGCACTGCAGAAGAGCAGAAGAAATGCATGAAATATTAACTTATCAACTTACAAAGCATCTCAGTTATCTGCTTCAATTGAAGTGAGATTCTCTTCAATCAGTAATTGATCTCTGCAGTGCTTTCAACAGCAGCATCATCTGATTTCTTCTTGAGATCAGTCATTCTGAGGTGTTTTTTCATCTTGAAGACTCATACTTTCATCTTCTTTTGCAGATGAGCAAGAGAGATCTCCTCAGTCTTGATAAAATCTGTCAATACTTAAAGCTCTGAGACTCTTGCTCTGTACTGCTTAAGCATCTGAACTTCTTGTCAGAGCTGATATAATGTCTTCTTGTAGAGTAGATAATACTTACAGAGAGATAGAAGTTATTATTACAGATACAATGAAAATAATAAGAGTGAGAGAAGAAATGAATACATAGAATCTCTCTCTTCTTCAGCTGCTTGATACAGTGCAGACAAGTAGTGATGCTGATCAGAGACTGCACTGAAGCCTTCTCACAGAGAGAAGATAAAGAAACTGTGAGACTCTGCAGACTTAACTCAGCAGCATTCTGAGCAGGGCTCAGATATGCTATGAAAGAGAAACTATGAATTAAGCTTCTCAGAGTCACTGTCTCTGAAACCAAGCTCTTTCTGAGTTTCTCTTTGAATGATCACATGGAGTCATACATCACTGTATTGACTGAGAGGGGGGACAGTGTTGTAATAGCAGTGAGAGAGGCAGAGAATGAACTGAATATAGACAAACTGACTGACAGAAGGAATGACACTTCACTGCAAGGTATGATGACTATCACCACAGCTGCAAAAGAAGCAGGAGAAGAAGAAGATGTGATAATGAGAGTGATACTCTCACAGCTCATTAACATCACTGTCTCTGCCTTCAACCTGGCTTTCTTGACAGTCACAGAGATCACTGCCACAACATAAAGACATTTATTCACTAGAAAATGTCAGAATAAGTCCTCTACTGTTCTTCAAGAATGATACTCTCATACACTCACTATTACAGATGAGAAGAGAAGAAGAAAAATGTGTCATAAGAGAGAAGAATCTTTTTAAAAAAATCCTGTCACTACTGTTAGCTTTGTCTCTAAAATACATCACTTTTACAGAGAATTTCATACATAGAATGAAATATGTTGAAAGATCTGTAAGTCACTTATTAATTATGTTTTTCACATTTCAAATTGATATATAAGAAACCCACTTATCACACATTTGATTTGAATGAAGATGAGAAAAGAAAGATCTACACAGTCAGTAGAAAAACTCATCTATTTCTTTATATTACATGCAGCATATATGCTGTCAATCAGTTGACAATCATTACTATACAACAAAGATAATTTCTAATCCAGTAATCTTGAGAGCATAGAGACTATATTCTTAAAGAGAAGAATATTATCATACTTCTAACTATATCAAGACTCTGTTACAGTTTCATACAGCTCATCACTTTTATATAAATGATTTCATTCATTCTGCAGACTGTCTGAACTGGTTTTCAATTACTCTATAACATTATTCAGATGTATCATAGAAAGATCTGATTAATGAATATAAGAACCTCACTTTTATATGAGATCAGCAGATTACTCTTTCTTGACAATGAGATGTCACTGAGGTATCACTTCAGCTATTCTCACTTATAAAATGAGAGAAGAGTATCCGCTCATTGTCTATATAGAATAGCTAGATGCTGACTTCTCATCAAAGAAGTCAGTGATTCATTTTTCTTCTACTAAAATATATATAAGAGTTACTACATGTCTCATACAATCTTCTTAGTATACTAAGTATCATATCTGTGATATTCTCACAATAACTCTGTAGCCTATGAGCTCACTATTCAAGCAAGATAGTCAAGCTCACTCATACAGCTTCTCAACAACTACCTCTACATAACGCCACTGACTAGCCACCGCTTCGGTTCCGCCATGTTACATAAGATATGTCTTAAAGATGATGCAATGACACTGTACAGATCTCTTTATAACTTATCTATAAAGAAATTGAATGTTCTGTGCAAATATCTTAAGAAAGTGTAATTAAAGAACTGAATATATTCATCAAAGAGTTTGACAGAGACATCTATACTCTTTGTGCTTAAGAAGAACAGTAGACTATACCTATATGTAGACTACAGAGGTCTTAATAAGATGACAGTTAAAAATTACTATTCATTACTGATAATTAATGAGATGATTGATCAATTATCTGAAGTAAAGATATTCTCAAAGATTGATATATAAGATGTCTATCATAGAATCAGAGTTAACAAAGACAATGTTTAAAAAACAGCTTTTGATACTAAGTACAGCAATTTTAAATATCTTGTTTTATCTTTTAATCTTTGTAATACTTCAGCCATCTTTCAGACCTATATAAATAAGATACTGCAGAGCCTTGTTGATATCTTCTGTATAGTATATCTGAATAATATTCTAATCTTCTCAAAAATGAAGAAAGAACATGATACTCATGTTCAAGAAGTATTGAGTTACTTGAGACAGTATCAACTCTATACAAACACTGAAAAATACTCATTCTATATATAGAAAATTGACTTCTTAGATTATATTATTGAGATGAATGATATTTCAAATAGAAGCTGAATCTTCATCATTGAGAACTGGCCAGCACTGCAGATATATCATAAGATGCAGATATTTCTAGAATTTACAAATTTCTACAGATGATTTATCTATGCATATTCACAGATTACTGATTCTCTTACAGATCTGTTAAAGAGAAGTGTGAAAGACAGAAAAATAAGATTATTTACTCTTATTCAAGATATTATGTAGATGTTTGCAGAATTGAAACAAGCTTTTACAGATATTATAGTACTGAATCACTTTAATCTCAACTTACTCAGTCAGTGTGAGACTGATGTATCTGAGAATGAAGTCTATGAAATCTTTTCACAGTTGACACTGAAGATCTTTCAATATTGAAAGAATTAGAGAATAATTATCTCTGAAAATACAGATAATGAAATGTCTGTGAGAGAAGACTTTTTCACAGAGTCTATAAGACACTGTAAATAAAGATCAGTGATCTTCTTCTTCAAGAAGTTATCACTTATATAGAGAAGATATGATACTCATGATCAAGAGATGTTAGTAATTATCAAATTCTTTAAGATCTGATAACATTATCTTCAGAGTAGTAAGTACTCAGTGTAAGTTCTCACTCATTATACAAATCTGCATTACTTGTTGATAATAAAGAGCTTGATAAAACATCAAGTCAGATAAGCAGAGCTGCTTTCAGAGTATGATTTCTATATTTAATATTATTCAGATTGACTTAATCTTCTCAATATATTATCTAGACAGTCTGATTATAATATCATTGATACAGAGAAGAATTCTATAAAACAATCTCTATCATCACTACAGAAGAAGCTGACTGTAGAGAATTGAGATTCTCTGAAGCTTAGAAACAGTACTGATAAGACAGCTGCATGACTCAGTATAAAAGATAAAAAAAAACCTGAATTCTCACAGAGAACTAATACTGAAGATCATAAGCTTCTTATATCATATCTTACTATCATTGAATTGATAAAGAAGAAAACAGTCTACAATCTTTCAATCTGACTACTTTTGAAATTTATTAATAAGTTATAAAAAAAGAACATCTCTACTGCAGCTTGAATTCAGAAGTTGAAGAAGAAAGAATCTGATTTAAACTTGAAAGAGACAGGCTCTGAGCAGTATTATACTGTGAAGAAATCAAGTCACTGATAACTAGAAGAATATGAACTTCTACTGCTGAATAATTCAGTCTTCATCTCTTATAGTAGAGCAGTGTATCAGAAGTGATTAAGAATTCATTATAATAATTTTCATACAGAGCACTTCAGATTAGAGAAGACTGAGAAGCTTCTAAAATATAAATATATTTAAGACAAGCTCTGAGCAGATTATTATTATTATTATTATTATTCTTTCATTATACTCATATGCAAGCGGAGCTTATGATGAGTCCTTGCATGATGTTAAATACAGATCAAGTGTTGATTATACAGGAGGAAATACAGGTGTTGAGACCACGTCAAGATAACAAGAACATAGGAAAATACAAAGAAGTAACAATTAGATACATGCGATAATAACTTCTCAGCCCAGGAACATAGAGCAATTCATTGAAGCGATTTGTACACCTCTGTATTTATTAGAAACCTGAGGTGCTTGAGTTCCGGATTTAATGTATCCCCTGCGGGTTTCGAACTCACGCGCCTTGGTTTCCCACGCCAAGGCGCTACCGGATGGCCGCATTAATCATTCGGCCACCGGGGCGCTGCTGAGCAGATGTTAAAGAGTATATTAAGACTTATAATATCTGTCAAAGAATAAAGATCTCACAGTATAAGTAATACAGTGAGTTAGTATCACTGTCTGTCTCAAAAAGCTTATAATAGAATCTATTAATGAA